TCCAGGGATCCCATATCTCTAGGGAGCCAGTGAACGGGTGTTGGCTGTGCACCTAACTGGCCTTGCCCACCCCCGACCAAGTGAACCTGTCGCTGAACAAGTGGGAAATGTCACGGGAAGGGTGACGTTCTGTGCTTCCGTGTCGGCCTGAAATTCTTTAGCAATAAGCCCCGGCAACACTCTACATACCTGAAACCACACCCTGGGAAAACACTCAACGGTCTCTCGTTCCACAGCGGCTCTCGGGCCACGGCGTCAAGACGGCACCGGGTTCCCGTCATGGACAACAGACGGCCGTGTTTACCTCTCCCCGTTCCAGCATGTTCTCGGGAGACGAACCAGCTTGGAACCGTTTACGCACCGAGAGGCAAGCGTCTGAACGGACAGGGGGCCTGTGTGTGTCTCTCCACCGGCAGAAGGCTGGAGGCGCTGGATTAATGAACCGTTTGGTGCCAAGCACAAACAGCACAGACACTTGGCAATGGGGAGCAGATAACCAAGTTATTCATCAAGTTCAAAGTTGTTTAGAGTTTGGCTGATGCGAAGCCGAAGGAAAGAAGATCCCAGCTGATGGGAGGTGGGGAAGGGTGCCAATCCAGAAAGGACAAAAGTGTCAAATGTACGTGGCTCTCCCCTCCACGGCTCTCCTTATTTTATTTTATTTTATTTTATTTTATTTTATTGATTTTTTTACAGAGAGGAAGGGAGAGGGATAGAGAGTTAGAAACATCGATGAGAGAGAAACATCAATCACCTGCCTCCTGCACACTCCCTACTGGGGATGTGTCCACAACCAAGGTACATGCCCTTGACCGGAATCGAACCTGGGACCCTTCAGTTGGCAAGCCGACGCTCTATCCACTGAGCCACACCGGTTAGGGCCATGGCTTTCCTTTTAAAATTGGTTGGAACCCCGAAGTCACCAAGAATAGAGATGGCAGAGAGAGAGGCTCTAGCCTCGGCCCTTACGATGCCAAGTTCAGTGGTTTTCCCACCAAACCACAGCTGCTTCTCATCGTCGCCCGGGGCTTTTTATTGTTGTTGCTAGTCAGATAACATGCCTTGTGCGTATTCTGATGGACCGTGAATTAGAAATGGGAGTATGTTTAGGGTTATGCTGTTTCCAGAAACAAATAAAAAGATACAAACATTTTAAGGAAAGTTTCCCGGAACCATCTCCCTCATCCCCCTAAAAACCTTACTTAGTTACGTGGAAATAATTACAGAATTCTTTTTCTTTCTTTTGGATGCTCAATGGTATTTTTAGGTCAAGTTTTATTTTTTTAAAATATATTTTTATTGATTTCAGAGAGGATAGGAGAGGGGGAGAGAGAGAGAAACATCCATGATGAGAGAGAATCATAGACAGGCACACCTCCTACCGGGCATCGAGCCCGCAACCTGGGCATGTGCCCTGACCGGGAATTGAACTGTGACCTCCTGGTTCATAGATCTACGCTAACCACTGAGCCACAGGTGAGTACTGCACATTAAGATGTTTAGGGAAACCTGTCCATAGTATCAATTCATGGCAGCCCCTTCAGACCACAGGCCATTCAAATTCAAAGCTAGGTGGGCTTCTGCCCCTGGAGATTGGCCCTTGACCCTGAAAGGAAGGGCCTGGGCATCACCATGGCTTGGGTTTGCTTTGTCCTCACTAACTCTTGCTTCGGGGTTAAGCCTCCCCCCCTCCATCTTTTCACACCTTCCCTTCTTGACCTTGGAGTTTCTCAGTAAGCTCCCGGGACAGCCACAGAATGGCCATCTATTCCCTATCAGGTCCACAGTTAGTAGACTCCGATAGCGTCCATATCCTCATGGAAAATCAGACACTTGGAGTTTAGGGACCTCCTTCCTCAAAGTGCTCTCAACAGAGAAACACGAAAGCAACATAAAAACCCTGCAGCGTGGAAAAGACTGGCATCCGGCTTTTTCTGACCATAGGATCCTGAGATGCCCAAGATACAAAGCCAGTGAGCTTCAGGATAGTAAGGGAAGCATTTGGAAAGCAGGATGTTGAAACGAAGTATCAGATTATGCGAGCTGCACTGGCTGATGGAAAAACATGAACTCCCATGTGTCCCGTTTCAGGGCACAATGACCCTCCAAACTCAGCCATGAGGGCTGATGAGCAGGTCCGGACCTGTGAGGGGGTGCCCCGGGGAACCTCATCGTGTCTCCAGGTGAGTCTGACCTCGTATGCACCCTTGGGTGAGGCAGTCCTTGCTTTTTTCCACTGCCCTGTTCATGCTGCTCCTTCCTAGCACTGTAGCTAAGGGAAGGGAGGCCCAAATAAAAAAAAATAAATAAATGCCTGTCATTGGAATGGGGCTGGGTACCAGACAGACGGGGAAGTCTGGCCCTGCCTTCCTCAGGTTCAAGTTCTGTTCAGTTTGTTGAGCGAATAAACAATGGTGTTGTTTGGAAAGCAAAGCCTTCTCCTACAGAGCCTCAGGAACACCGCAGACACCTGTGCTATCTGACCTTCCCTGTGGGATTAGAAGTCAAGTTCTTGGACGATGCTCTTTAAGGGGGGCTGCCTTCTCAGTGCACACACATAGTAGATCCCAAAGAGCCTGCACTGGTTACTGATAAGACGTTTGTTTCCCCGCAGTTTCGCTTGGGAACATCCCTTCCCTTTCCCTGGAGGGCAGACTGCTGGAGAGATGGCTGATCACACCTCCCAAGGCGTGACCAAATTTGGGGACCGCACATGGTAAAAGCAAGCGCTTGAGTTCAATGCATTGGGTAGCGAGTTTGTAGGGGGAAAAGCACTTTAGTTCTGCAGACCCCGGGGTGTACCCCTGCCCCTCTCTGGGCCTGTTTCTTCTGAGAAATGGAAATGCCAGCACATGCAGGGACACTGGGAGTGGCTCAAAAAGCTCCCCGTCCCACTGTTGGGAGTGCTCAGTACGTCTTCATTGTATTTTGCATTTTATCATCTAAGAATGCCTGCGTTGGATCCCACGCTGGGGGACTGGAGAGCCATATGAAAGGGTCGTGCTAACAGGAGCTCCTCACGCCTCCACTCTGTATTGCTATGCACACGGGGGAGGCGGTGAGCTGCGCCTTGGGGAGGCTGGGAAGAAGAGAAAGCAGACAGGTTTCTCAGCAAAGGCCAGGAAGCCCTCCTTGAAAAAAGTGCCACCTTACTGCAAGACCCCTTTTGGGGGTCACAAATCTGGTTATTGAATAAACACCTGCAAAAGGAGAGACAGTTTGAGGCAGCACGGGGGGTGGGGAGGCCAGCCACCCACCTTTCTGCATGTCCATTCAGACAGGAGGCACCTGTCCGTCATCGGGGAGGGAATGATGGGAGCAGCAGGGCTGGTGAGAAAAGGAGTCTGGGACCTCCCTTACCACCATCCCTGCACAGCGGGTCTCACCACCAGCAGAGCAGGACACTAACCTACAAGGAACCAACGTCCCTGTCAGGACAAGGGGCACCCAGCTCACTGCTAATACCCGCTGGCCTGGAAGGTGGCAGCGACACCCAGCCCCAGAGAACGCGGAGCTCCCTGGCTGTGGGGTGCCCCACCCAGGACCTTCCTCCGGTCTCCTCCATAACCAGCCAAGTCTGCCCCACTGTTACAGGAGACCATGTCCCTTATACAGGGGGCTTGCCTGTCGCCCCCTGTGGCGGTGGGGCTGCAGGAAACCTCTCCTTTGTAGATGCACAGGTGGCATTGTTGTTACACCGCACAGTTCCTGCACGGATTGGTAAGAGACCTTTCCAAGTTCTCCTTCAGCTGCTCTTCCCGGCACAGCCAACCCCCTTTCCAGGGATCGGGGCTCAAGATTCCCCGGAAAATCACTCGGGAGAAGAGCAAGGTCCGTGCATGGATTTCCCAGCTTTCTGCCATAGGTGCCTGCAGAACCGGTACCAGCAGGTACCATTTTATCTTTCTGCTGGAGGATCCTAAAGCCAGAGGGACGAGGTGATGGATCTTGAGGCGGCAGCCTGCCACTCAGCACGACCTGCAATTCTGTCCCTTGAACTCGGAAGCGCGGGACTGTAGACACACAGGGGACTCCTCCTCCTTGGAGGCTAGTCCCGGCCTCCCCACCTGCCACAGGAGACACCTTCCCTAGAGAACACGCAGCCGTGCAGCCTCAAGGAGCTGGGAGCTCCCCGTTTCCTCTAGATGGCGCGGTTTCCCCTAATTCGTCCGCAAGACACCCTGTTTGTAAAACCCACACAACCCAACGCCTTCGGAAACCACAGGGCGTAATAGCAGCTCGAAGGCCCCATTGAAAATCACAATTTGGGGGAGCTGGCTCTACCTCCGAGCAAATGCAAGGTAAATGCATTAACGGGATGCGTCCCCACTTCGACCCTCCCCCTAAATACACCTGTCCCCCTGTGCGCCACGGCGGGAGCTAGGCGCGGAGTTACCGCCCTGCATGGCCCGAACCGAAGGGCCCAACCACCACGTAGGAACACGGGGACACTTGGGAACCCGATCCCTTAGCACTCAAGCCGAGTCCCGCATTTCCCTGCGCTCCCAGCACCAAGGACCGCTGGGACCCGGGCCCAGACCTAGACCTGCCCCAATGCCCCCGGGCACAGGCGCTCCCCCCGGCTCTGCAGCCGCCTTAGGAAGTCTGGCGCGGGGCAGGGGGCGAGAACCCGGCGAGCTGGCTCAGTTGGGGGACAGCCCGGTGGCCAGCTCCGTCCTCGGCTCCCGGGAGGAGTTGGTCCAGCGGGAGCAAGGGAGCTCCCGGCCCGCACACAGTGGAGACTGCGCTGGGCTGTCCAACCACGCGCGCCGCCGGCTGCCTGGGGAGAGCCTTTTAGGAAAAAAAGAGCGGATACCAAACCACAAGAACTTCGCTGCCAAGAGCGAAAGCCATCGAGGCGCAGCGAAGCTCCCAATCCCGGCAAGACGAGACGTGGGGTTGGGAAGGACGCAGCCCGTGCGGGGGCCCCGGCAAGTGTCCGCGGCGCCCGGGGGAGCCGGAGCCGGCCGGGTCCACTCCGCTGCCGGCCCCGCGCTTACCTTGGCGGCTGCATGGGCGAAGCGTGGGGGCCGGGGCGCCGCTCGTCCGCCCCGGGGCGAGGAAGGAGGGGCTCGGCAGGCGCAGGTCCCCGCCGCCCCGGCCGGCTCAGCAGCGGACCGGGGTGCGCCGCCGGCTCCCGGGCTGCATGCTGGCGAGCGCCTGGAAGAGCCGGCCCGGGAGCGACCGGCGAGCGGGTCCCAGCCCAGCGGCTCGGGCGGCGCAGCCCGCGCTCCGGAGACAACTGCGGAGTCGGATGGCTCGGGCCACCCCCTCCCTCGCCCGGCCCCCGCCTGCCGCCTCCAGTGCGGCGTCGCGAGGTTCCTTTGCGCGCGGAGGGGAGGGGGCGGGCCAGCGCCCCGGGCGCCGGCGGGGGGCGAGCGCAGGCGGAGGAGGAGGAGGTGGGGTGCGCGATCGGATCGCCCCGCCCCGCCGCAGCCGCACCCTCCCGCATCAGCAGGGGTTGGGTGGCTGCGTGGGGGGGGGGGGGGGAGGTGCGCAGAGTTTGGGGGTGCGTGGCCCAGTGCAGCGATCCCCGAGATACCCCCAACTTTCCAAATCTCCCGCGGGGTGCCGTGGAGAGCACGTTTTGCACCCGCAATTCCACGATGGTGATGGGGGGAGTTACTGTGAGGTCTCCGCGGTGGACAGTCTGAGCCCTGAGAAGTGCTGCTCTCTGGAGACGCACCTTTGTTCTATGGAGATGCTTTTTTTTAAAAAAGATTCTGATTTTTAAAAATGTATATAATATGTTTGAAATGTGTAACACACGATGCGTTCCCTCGTGCGGGTTCACACAACTGCGAAAAGGAGACCACAGCGCGCCCCTCCCCACTGCAGCCGCGCCCCAGAGGTAACCCTGGGTCAGGGTGTGCCCCGTTGCGGTTCTTCCCAGCCCTTGCTCTGCACTTTTGCACGCACACGTACAGACTGCAAGGGGAATCGCCCGGGCTTTTCCACAGGATGCTTTCCCATGCAGCGCATGCACGCACCCACCCGCGAGAACACAGCGACTTCAGCAGCGGTAAATCCCAGCGTCCGGGGAAAGGCCCTTCCGGGGAAAGAGCGAAGAACCACCCAAAAGCCATGTGCAAATGCGAAGGAACCCCGCCTGGGCGGGAAGTCAGCCTGAACACACAACTCACGCCCAAATGATCATGCATCGAGGGGGTAGAGACATGTGCCAGGGCATTTCGGATAGGATTGTGACCTTCCGTTCTCACAGAAAGCGAAGTGCCCTGGATTTCTGATACGATGGGGGAATGTTTGGATTTGCAAAATGAAAAGACAGCATCCGCTTTAAAACTCGATCGTTATTGATGCTTGTGGTCTTGAGGGATGTGGTTTGAACACAACAGCCTGCATCTTCTGGGCCAAGGGTAGGGAGAGAATCTATAGCTGGGATATAAATAAAATCCTGGGATTTAGCAGGAAGGGGCTGCGTATTGGGATGGCTGGTTTCTATAATTAGTTCTGACCTTGGGCAAGATATTGGGCAAACTGGGACGCTAGAGGAGTTGTACTGGGTGTTGGGTAAGCGTGTGTGTGTGCGTGCATGTGTGTGTGCGCTCCAGCCCTAATATCTGGTGAATAACTGGTTTTTCACCTTTCAATTAAGCTTTATCGTCAATGCCTTTCTTTTTTTGTTAAATCCTCACCCAAGGATATTTTTCCATTGATTTTTAGAGAGAGTGGAAGGGAGGAGAGAGACACAGAGAGAGAAACATCAATGTGAGAGAGACACATGGACTGGTTGCTTCCTGCACACTCCCTGAGCAGAGCTGGGGATCGAGCCTGCAACCGAGGTACATGCCTTTGACTGGAATCGAACCTGAGACCCTTCAGTCCCCCGGGCCGATGCTCTATCCACTGAGCCACACCAGCCAGGGCTCAACTAAGCTTCATTATCTCCTTGGGAAATGGCGCTCCTAACACCTCATGCTCTGCTTCCTAACACTGATCTCACTTTGCAGCGATCCACTCATGAGGGTGACCCCTCCGAAATGTAAGCAGCCAGGAGGGCAGGACCAAGGGCTGTCTGGGGTCCTCAGTGCCTCCCCGGCACTCAGTTCAGTGCCTGCTGGCACATAATAGGCACGATACAAGATTGTGGGATGCCTATCACCCAGATAAGAGATTTCCCAGTGCTCTTCCAATGTCGCCTGGCATTTTCGAAAGATCTGTAAGTGGAAACATCTCATTTTAAAACGTAGCCTGTGGGACGTGCCCAGGAGGGTTTCCCCATCTTAGGGGACAAACAGTCCACTGTCTAGATGAGAACAGGCACTTCTCAGCTCAGCCACCGGCTGCACAGGCGGCGGGCCAGCAGCTATTTACCTTGATGAGCGTGCGCTCCTGTGGAGAAGACAATGAATATTAATGCAACTCATTAAGTCCTTGATTAAGTTGGAACCAGGCATCCAACCCCTTGCAATACACAGATGAGCACTCAGGGTTGAATGAGGCCATGGGGTGTGTTTAGGGTGCAAATTAACAAATGTATGGGCTTTCAACTGACAATCTAGAAACAACCCTAATAGAAAGTGCCAGGGAATGCATGCCTTCTTTACTGCAAAGGGCCTGAATTCCTTAGAAATGTGGACTGGAAACAGGCAAACCTGGGTTGAAGGGTTAAAAAAGTGCCAAAACCTGTTTGGCTCAGTGGATAGAACTTCGATCTGCGGAATGAAGGGTCCCCGAGTTCGATTCCGGTCAAGGGCATGTACCTGGGTTGCAGGCACATCCCCAGTGGGGGATGTGCAGGAGGCAGCGGATCTATGTTTCTCTCTCATCGATGTTTCTAACTCTCTATCTCTCTCCCTTCCTCTCTGTAAAAATATCAATAAAATATATTAAAAAAAAAGTAAGTTCACCAAGACACAAGTGGTGAGGGGTGGATCAACTCAGTGCAAGATCAATGTCTCTATTTGTTTTTCTCTTGTCCAGTAAGTATTGTTGCTAAGGGAGAGGTTAAAACCTGGCCTCATATTGCCCTGGTTTGAATGGCTCAATGGTTAGTGTACGCCCTCCCTCTGAAGGGTCTCGGGTTCGATTCCTAAGTTGCAGGTTCCATCCCTGGCCCCTCCCCTCCCTTCCACTCTCTGAAAATCAATGGAAAAAAATATCCTAGGGTGTTACGATTAAGTCAAGTGGCTTTAAGTAAAGTAGATCATCTTCTGTAATGTGGTGGGCCGCACCTAATCAGTGGAAGGCCTTAAGAGCAAAGACTGACGTTTTTGAAGAAGGAATGTTGCCTCAATATTGAAACACAGAAACCCAGACAGCTGTCCTGCTCAACAATTTTTTTTTTTTTTTTTTTGGTCAGCCCCTACAAGCATGTGAGCCAATTTCGTCAATCTCTCTCCATATGCATACTGCTTCTGGTTCTCTGGAGAACCCCGACTAATACTCCATTCAAACAGGTCCACTCGAGATGTATGAGAAGTATGCATTCCTTCACTCACTTCTTCATCTAGTCGGTAATAACTTATTGAGATAAACACATATACAGCACTGTGGAGGGCATTGTAAAATATCGCAAGAAGTGTGTCGGACTCATATCACGTTTCCCTGAAAATGCCCGGGAGATCTTATGAAGCAACCAGGTAGTAAGCATCCATGCAACTCAGAGATAAGGGGTCATTTGTCTAACAGCAGGTTTGGTGAAACAGTGGCCCCTTTTCTGGGAATTCCCGTCTTAAACGCTAATGCCCGGGAGATGGGAAGTTTAGCAGAGTGTGCCATAACAATGAGAACCTTCTTTTTCTCCTGGACACCAATCTTCAAGTGCCGTGATTTTAAATCTTTTTCATCTGTGAAATGTTTTAATGGGGCAAAATGACCTTGGCTTGCTCTGGAGATGGAAGGTGGGGACGGAGGACCCACAACTGCCAAGCCAGAAGGATCTGGTTTTAAACCTTGGCTCTGGCATTAGCTGAGTGACCGGGGGGCCAATCATACCACATCGTTAACTCTTACTTTTCATGTTCATAAAGTAGAAAGACCTTTCCTGTTAGGGCTGGTGAGGACTCAAAAAGCGAAATCATATAAAATACCAATCACGGGATCTTGAATGGGGCGGTGGGCATGCAGCTAAAGGCAGCCGGCCTTTCCGGGTCTCCGTTCATCTTCTCTGCATTAAAGACGACCAGAAGCTGACCTACTGTCTTAGAGCCAAACACAAGCCGTACTCACTGTTTCCAAGCTGTGGGTGACACCGTTCCAGAAACGAAGAAACAGCTACCACCAACTCACGCTGCAACTCACACTCCTGCGGCAGCCCCTGCGAGCCTCAGAGCTTTTCTCTCCTTTTACTCGTATCCCTCGGAATTGATGTCGCCCTGTGTCACCCAGGAGGGCCGCCACAGGCTTGGGGGGGACTCAGGACAGAACAGGCCACCAGCCGGATAGCAAGGTCTTTGGAGTCCTGGTGCTTGGGTTGTGTCTCGGTCTCAGCTGCCCTGTTGTAAACAGGAAAGTCAGACGGTGTTCAGAGGGCTGGAGCTGACATTTACAAAGTGAAAGCTGTTTCTACTGCCATCACTAGGGATTACAAAGGAACTCATCTGATTACAGAGGAGCAAACAAGAGGACTCCCTGGGATTAGCATAATTTGTTCAGGCATCTCGTTTCTTGTTTTTCAAACTTGATTTGGCTTTAGAAGGAGCTGGGGGGTTCTTGTTAACAGTGCAAGTTCCCAGCACCCACTCCAGGGCTAGTGAAATAAAAACCTCACAAATTAAGGCTTGGGCGTAAGTATTTTTTAAAAAAAGCCACATGGTTTGAACACATATTTGGACACCCACGTTCACAGCAGCATTATTCACGACAGCCAAAAGGTGGAAGTAACCCAGCTGTTCATGGGTGAGTGAATGGAAAAGCAGAATGGTGGTCCATACATATAATGGAATATTATTCAGCCTTGAAAAGGAAGGAGATCCCCACACGTGCTACGACATAGATGGACCTTGAGGACATTATGCTAAGTGAAATAAGCAGATACATACGGTATGATTCCACCTATACGAGGTACCTAGGGGAGTCAAATTCACACAGACAGAAAGTAGAGCTGGTGGTTGCCAGCGGCTGGGGGGAGGAAGAATGGGGCCTTGATGTTTAATGGGAACAGACGCTCCGTTCTGGAAGACGAAGTAGTTCTAGAGATAGGTGATGGTTGCGCAAAGGTGTGAATGCATTGAATGCCATTGAACTGTACACTTTAAAACGACAAAAAATGGTAAATCGATGTGTATCTCACTGGCTTTTCTAGCACAGTCTCACGGGAACTTAGAGATTCCTGCTCCATTCCAAA